GGAATGAAATGTTCACGTTTGCCTCCTTTTCTCTGTTTAACGTTGACTGCTGTGAACACTAGGAAGAATAACCCTGCAGCTTTTCTTTTTTTTTTCTTCTCTTTTTCTTTTTCTTTTTTTTTTAATCTATTCATTTTATACTTTTACAGACAGATTTCTCCCTGGGGTGAAACAAAGGTTAACTGAAATTTCCTCTGTTGTGTACCTGAACGAATCAGCAGTTTGAGAAGGAAATCCCATTGATGGGCAAAGAGAGTGACAGGCTCTATTTAAAGAATTCCCCCGACTGTGTGGTAGACCAACCATGCCATGAATTTAACTGTTCCTGTGGTCCCCACACTTGTACCCACCAAAAAGAGAGAAAAACCTACTTTGTTCCGCAAATGTTGCACTGAGCTTTGAAAATCATGAGCCACAGAGTTCTGTGAATTAACATTTCCAGTAGTGGTCAGGTCTAACAGAAGCAGTATTGATGGCATGAGACAGAAAGGAGGGACAGTTGTGTGAGCGTGCACATTAGAAAAAGCAAACTGTAAGTTTGTATTTTAATGTGTGTTTGCATTTTAATCGTTTCATGCTTTTCGGAAACGCCACGCTGGGTCCATGAAAGGCTGCTGAAAGTAAAGCGCTGGAGGTGTTTTCTCACCGACACACAATGTGTGCTGCTGCTCGTGTGTCTGCACAGACACACACATGCATGGCAGGGCATCGGAGGCAGAGGCAGCAGTGCCTCTTCATGGTGAGAAATGCCTCCCACTGAACTTCTGCCAGTGGTACTGACTGATACCTACGTGGGAGTTCATGGCTCTCTTAAAGTTGTCCGCGTTACAGAGGTATCGACCTGTGACCCGTTACAACAGCAGGTGTCTAATTGTTAAGTAAATCACCTTTTGCCCATCCTAAACTTGTTTGTTACTGCAGTGGCAGCCAGCAGCGGTGAAATTGTAAATGTTGTTCACAGAGAAGTCTGAAACAGTCCTTACCTCGGAGCTCTTACAGTGGGCTGTAATTAGGGCTCTGCGTTCTGGGGCGTCCTTGTATTAATTATCTCTCAAAGACCAATTTTCAGTGCTCAGCTCTGAAATTTTCCCTTCAGTCTGTGTGGCAAACTGTCACAACTTGAAGCACCCATTTCTGAGGGCAGCTGATAAAATACAGTAAATAAAATGGCTGCATGCATATTCCTGCTGTAAGGGGCAACGGGGCCTGTTTTTCCATTTCACAAAAAGGGAGCGTTTCATTTGCAAAGCTGAGCAGCCAGGCTCTACGGTTTCACAGTGGTTTTATGTGCAGAAACCAAACAAACCTTTGCAGGGGAAGAGAACCTGGCAATCTTCAGGCTCCACTAAGTGGAAATAAAAGTGCAACTTTGGAAGAGGTAAAAATCTAGACAAGGTCGTCCTGTTCGCACACTGGGGGTCATGTGTTTGGTTGCTAGGATCAGCAGCAGTACAGGATGTAAGAGTACATCCTGAGTAGTTTGTTGTTTATTTCAGGTCACTTTTTGTTCTGCGGAAATGGATTGTTCCTCTGGGTAACTCCAGGTTCTGACAGCTCATCGTTGTCCTTCCTCCCTGCCTGTCCCCTTCTTGCAAATGAAAGAAAGAAAGCTTAAAAGCATGTTGAACAGTGACTGCAAATCTGGCTTCGTGTTGAGCCCCGCTCTGAGATTCACATTTTCATTCCCGTGGAATGATGTTTGTGAATCCCGGCGATCTTGGAACATTCTTCTTCTAAATAAGAACGAAGTCGTTGTGCACTGTGTGCTCTTGTAGAGGACTACAGGACAGCTAAAGATAGCGCTGCATAAAGGCAGACCTTTGCTCAGGGCTTCCATTTTAACCTGAACTGCATGCATGCATCCTGCATGCCATTTTTTCTGGCCTCTGTTTTTCTGTCCTTTTGTTCTGTTCTGCAACTTAACAAGGCCATTTCTTCCAACTGAGAGAAGGTCAGATATAGCTAGCCCTGAAGAAAATAACTTCATAGAGGAGGCATAGATGTTGATATAATTATTTTTAAAAAGATAGCTATTAACAAATGAAGATGAGAAGGGAAAGTATAGCAAATTTTTGAAAATGTTCTGGAGGGGTTTTCCTAATCCACTTGCAGGACCCTTTATATCCTGTCTGCTCTGTTTCTGCAGGATGACAGCACAATCTCCTCACAGAGCTGTGGGGATCGTGGCAGAGATTATCCGGATGGCTCTTAAGCTGCTGCTGCACTGAGGTGCTGTAAAAGAGGAGGAAAGCACTTCTCCCCTTAGCTCCCAAGGCAGACAGCCATCCTGTGTGTGCGTTCCTCTCTGAGAACCGTGACGTGCTTTCATGTCGTGAGAAATGGCAGGTAGCAGGTTTTGTTGTGGTGGTGTTTACCACGGAGCACAACTCAGCAATCACCGCAAATATTTGTTCTGTGTCTGAGCTCTGAAGGTCAAAATTACCTTCTCAGTCCCGGGACAGGATCTGAGGCTTCTGGTTGGAGTTGTGGAGATCCCGGAGCATCTTCTCTTGGCAGTGCCCGGGGTGGTGGGTTGGACTGTGTCCTTGGTCTTACATCCAGGTATGGAGGAGTTCAGCGCGGGGGGAAGAGCGTGGGGCAAAGTGCTCTGCATGTGCTGATGGGCATCGTCCTGGGAGGCAGCAGGAGGGCAGGAGGATGGCTGGCAGGAGCGGAGCCGATGGAGTTTAGTGCTGCATTGCACCTTAATGCTTTTCTGAGTATTTTCTAATTTGAGCCATTTGAGTTTCTAACACAAGCAATTCTTTAATCATTTTATCATGTTTTTCCCAGGGAAGATGGGGGTTTTGACAGCACAGAAATGAAACTTGGTTGTTTGTTCTTAGAAAGGACATGTCTGATGATTAACAGGAGTTAATTTGCTGGTAATTTTGATCTGTAACCTGTCAACCATCCTGCATATGCCTTTCTATGTGGCATTCACAGGACTCATTTGAATTACAAATATCTTTTTCTTTATGAATGAATTTTCTTAATAGGCTTCCAAGTAATAAATAATGCACTGAAATATATCAGTAAGTGTGCTTCTTTACTTTTAAAGACTAGGCACCAAAAGGCCTAATTTTCCTTTGGGCATACCCACGAATAGCTTCCATTAGAGACATCCTACACGGTGCTATTCCTCCCATCCCCTGCTGGAACCCAGGCAGCCTGGAAGGAGCAGTCTCCAGGCCTAGATGGGTGATCCCACCTTTTGTTATGGTGGTCTTGTCTATCCTGAATGATGCTTGGGTGAAACATTTGGATCTTGCATTGCAGTTTTTGCTTTGCCAGTTGCTGTCCATGCTATGACTTAAACGTACTTAATATAATGTACCACTCCAATTGCTTGTAGGTAGGCCAGTGAAGTTGCTGTTAATGTCTGTGTGATGCTTGTTGAGATTTTGGCGTTAGTGCAAAAAATACATATTCTAGGGCATTGCTGAGAGTAGTCAGATATAGCTAGCCCTGACTTTAGATGAAGCAGAGCAGCTAACAGGTATAATTCTAAAGCACCCACCATATGTTCTAGGGACATACCTTGTGTCTGGGTACTGAGCTTTGTGTTTCAGCTGAATTTATGACTTTTTTAGTTTGCAGGTGTAGCAGAGCTTGAAGCAGTGATGGAGCACCTGGTAGGAAGGCAGGGCCAGCCCAGGGGAGCTCGGGTGCATGCAGTGCAATGTACTGTACCTGAGTGGCCAGAAGGGCTGGAGCCAGGATCCACCCCTTCCCAGCCCTCACTGGAAGGCAGGCAGTGGAGGTGAGGGAACCTCACTGGAGATCCCTGCATACCTTCTGAGGCCTTCTGAAGGCAAGCAGCTTCTTCTCTCAATTTCTGTGTCCACAGCTGTTGCATGTAAGTGAATCCTCACTCGCTGCAGCCTGGGACCTTGCTGCTCTGCTGTCATGGCTGCTCTTTCCACCGTGTTAAACAGTTACAGGTGATATTGCATGTGGTATGATTTTAGTTGCTAATCGCCCATCTTTTACTGGAAATGAATAATACAATCAAAGTTAGATACATCTGTAGTGCTTTTTTTCTAATAATTGTAATTCTTGATGTTGCAATTTGTTTTAATAACATGTACAGATGTTTCAGATTTCAGTTGTTGGCAGAGGACAGAACTCTTGGCGTTAGCCTGCAGACATGGGATTTACTCACACACGGGTTGTAACAGTTACTGTGAAAGTACAGGCAAAGCCAGCTATTCTGTTGACATGAATCCTCTGTGATGGTAAGAAAGATACTGCAGTGTTCAGCCGTCTTTGCACAGTGAGAGAAGTAAACACCATTGACATGCAGAACTTTGGAACAGCTCTTACTGCATCCCTGTTCTTCCAGGGTGTTTTGTGTTTTTTTTTGCCTTTTATTTCCTTCTGATTTTTCGTTTTTCCTTCCTCCAGTTCTGTGTGTCAGAAGCTCATGGTGTGATAGCTGTTCATTCAGTGTGCTGTTCTTGTTTACTGCACCTTACCAGGCCCTGCTCTGGAATAGCGTTACTTGGATTAGTCTTAGTTGCTGTGGTTATGCATAAAGCCATTTTGGCATGCGGCCTTCAAAAGCTGTGCTGAAGACATAGAATGTTTGAATTCACCAGGAAGAAGGGTATGTCTGGGCTGTGTGTTAGCTTCGTGTTCTGTATGCTCCCACTCAGACAACCCAAGTACTTAAGCTGGCCATGCTCTGCAGTCGGTTCTACATTCCTTGCATCTGAACAAATTGAAACCTGCTTAAATCTGTACCCTAGGGATGAAGGGGCAAAAGAGGGTAGCAGCTGATATGGTCCAATTGGTTAAGCATGTCCTGATTTTAAGGTGGATCAGATTTGCTGACAGGCAGGTTGATAGCATTCCTTTCCTGGAAATAGAACTTGTTTCTCTGTTTGGTACATTCAGAATCTATTACCAATTTCAGTAACATCAGTAATCATAATCTGAATATACTGTGAAAAAATGTCCTTAAGTTAAGTATAATTCATTGTATTTCTGTTTTCCAGGAGGCACTGATGTGGACTGGTCCATCAGTAATAAAGACCTAGAGGTAACACAGACAACCAGATTGTTCCATGTTTGTTATCTTTGTGTTTACTAACAAGCTGACCAAGATAAGCAGGCCTGGAAAATCCATCTGGGATTTTTGCATGGAAGCCTTAAGAATGTCCTTCCGTTGGCAGGTTAAGCTGAGCAGTTGTTCGTTAGGAGGACATTCACTTGTCAGGGAAGGCAGACAAATAGTGGTGAAGAGAGGAAAGGACAGGAGCTCCTCAGCAATGAGAAACTCAGTCCTTCCTTCCCAGTCTCTGTGAAGTAACTGTTTTGTGACAGCTCGATCCTTACTCCTACTGCGGCACCAGACGTCTCTTGTGGGCGGTTGGGCAGCCTGCAGTTCCTGAGGAAGGGCTCAGCTCAGCCATTAATGCTATTAGGCTGTAACTTGAAGCATTTGTGGAGGGTACCCTGGCACCCAGGGAGAGTAAGCTTCAGCTAGAAGGTCCATCTCCTGATTTCTCTTTCCAAGAGCTGTTACAGTTTATGTCATGCATTCACAGAACGATAGAGGTCAAAAAAGACCTTAGGAACCACCTGACCAACACTCCTACCCAGGCAGGTTGCCTTAGGGTGACATTAACAAAGCTTTTCTCATACGAGAACTCATGTTTTTGTACTTCTGTGATTTGCTTGTCCACAGTGTTAATTCACGGTTGTTAAATACCTTTTTTCTTTAAAAAAAATTCCTGTACAATTGCAGGTTATCTAAACTTACATGATATTGTACTTTGTCCAAGTTTCCCTCCATGTGTTCCAGAGAACTTGTGACTTGAATTTGCCATTACTACTAATTATATTTGCATTCTGATAAAAATTCCAGTTCATCAAGGAATTGCACAGTGAGTAGAAGTGTTTCAGCCGACCGAGACAAAGCAGAATTTCACGACTGTAGTTTTAAACAGTGAAAAAATCATGTCCTGAACTGAAAGTTTGAGCCAGGCACTGCCAGTCTGTGTAGAACAGAATTGTGCAGTTCGACTCCAGATGTGTAAATGGTGTCTGTGTGAGACTGCTGGCTGAACACTGCCAGCAATGACTCTTACACATTTCTAGCAAACCGCGAGTGGTTGAAGTGATAAATGTCTTTTCTCTTTTTTTCTCTGCAGGCACAGATCTGTAACTACGCGAGCGTGAGGCGCACGAGTGTTCGCTACTACACAGCCGACAAGAACGTTACCTGCAGAAACTGTGGGAGACCAGGGCATTTGTCCAAAAACTGTCCTGTTCCAAAGGTAAACGCGACGTTGCAGATTCAGCTGTTTTACTTTCCTGCTTGCTGTTAGGAATTTTGTTTCGGTGGCTTGGGGTTGAAAGGTAGCTTGCACAAGGTTGGTTTACTGTATGAAATTAACCGTCTGTTCTGAGGAGGTTATTGCTTTTATAAAGAAATCTGTAAGTATAAGCAGGTTAAAAAGAGATAACAGTGTAGGTGTATCTTTTTCGTAGTGTAAGACTAGCTTTAAGATATCAAATATGTTTAAAATTTATGTTCAAGAAGGAGTGCATTAAGGACTCCAAAAATCACCTGTCGTAAATGAATGAAACGAATTCCTGTGTGATGAACCACAATGCAGATAACGTTATAGAGATGTGAGGAACATGGAGTTGTTTAAGCAGCTTGGATAGATGCCAAATGCTTGGAAATTTCCGACTCTCCGTGAGTTAGAGGAGGTGGAGATTTAAAACTTGGAGACTGTGTTGTGCAGAAATGGTGCCAGCTGCATGCGGGTCTGGATTTATCAGTCCTTGCAACAAAGCCTGAAAAAATCCACCCCTCAGTCCTTGAGGCCACTACCTGCACTGAAACTTTGCATGTTAGTATCAAGCAGATTCCTTTAAAGGTCTGTCCCGTGCCTGCATCTCATGGAAACGTAAGCTCGTGGAGTGAAGGTGCACTCAATCACTGGGAAAACTGGTTTCAAACAGACACAGCTTTAGTCCCAGAGTACCTTTTTTATGTTTGTGAGGACGTCCATGTATCTGCTTGAGTTACAAAGCACGGGGCTAAGCTGGCCACAGCTCAGTCCCAGCCAGCCACTCAGTCAACCGTACTGGTAGAAAGCACTAAGAAGGCAAAAGCACAAAAAGATGTGGGCTTAAGATGAAGACAGTTTAATAGCAGTAGATAAAAAAACGAAAGCAAGTGATACAAAAGCAGCGTCTACTTTGGAAAACCTCCTTTGCCCCCATTTTATTGTGGAGCGTGATGTCCCGTGGTATGGGCTACCTCCTTGGTCCAGCTTTCCTGGCTGTGTCTCCTGACAACCTCTTGCCCACCTGCACCCAGTCTGCAGGTCAGAGTGGAAAACTGAGAGATCTTTGAGGCCGTGCAGGTGTTGTTCAGCAGCAGGTGAATGTGGGTGTGCTGTCTGCACTGTTTCTCAGCAAGCTAAAAGACATCTCCATGTGGGCTGATGTGAAGAAGAGTGTCTCCATCCATACCCAGTGTAGTGGTTAATGTGACAGAGCACATTTACAAACTATGCCAGTATGTTGGTGTGATGTTCCAGTGATGTACTTCTGTTTTTCAGCTTTTGAGGGATTTCCTAAAAAATAAGTGCTCATAGAGCGTACTGAACACTACTTACAGGAGCATTTGACAAGTACTTGTGATGCAAGGCCAAAATCAGGAGAATACGGGGATTTATGCAGTCAGAAGTTGAACTTTTACTCTCTTTCTAGCCTACCTTTGCTGCAGTTTCTAAATGAAACATAGGATGTCTGCAGTTCCTGGTAGGTGGCAGGCATTCATTTAGGATGTTTTCTTCTTTATTTCCTCCTGTGATGTTTTGTTTTACTTTCTGAAATCTTACACAGTGTACTCACTTAACATACTTCTTTTTGTATTTCTCCTCAGAAAACTCCCCCTTGTTGCCTGTGTGCAGAAAGAGGTCATCTACAGAACACTTGTCCAGCTCGGTTTTGTTTGAACTGCTGTTTGCCTGGCCACTATTTTAGGGAATGTCTTGAGAGATCCTACTGGAATAAGCACTGCAATCGCTGTGATATGAAGGGGCATTATGCTGACGTGAGTACTGTCCATGACAGAAAACCAAAACAAACAAACAAAACATTCACCATTGTTTTTTTATCTGTCAAAAATTGAAGTTTACAAGCACCACTGTCATTTCAGATTAGCTTTCATTGTATCAAGTGCACGTCTGTATGAACATGTGGAAATGTTGTAGTTGCTTACATGAAAAGTGGTCCAAAGAAAACAAACTGGAGCGCTGTAAGCACTTACTTGATATTTAGTTTAGTTTAATTTTGTCCAGTTTAGTTAGGGTGGTGAAAAATGTCAATTGATACAGTTTTGTAGTACTCACTGCTCATAGTAAAAAGGACTTTAAAACCTAGCAAATGCAGTTCCAACAGTTTCAGTGTGCTGGTTAAAAACATCTGGGGAAACATGCTGGAAATTATATGTTACATTTAACTCTTTAAATGTAACACTTCAGATTACTGTGTTTGAGTGTGCTTGGAGAACCATTGGAAATAACAGCAGATGGTAAAGAATGGAACATTTCTCATTTTTGTGAAGAAAAAGTGCGGGAAAGTTGAAATCAGAAGACTTGGCGTGCTGTGAGCACATTAGAAGAGGTGTAGAGCAGCCCTTCTGCTCTAGGAGTTTCAAATGACTTCTTACCATGATTATGTATTCATCAAGGAAAAACAGTAGAAGCTTATACTACTGTCTATGTGGGTTTGGCGTTTATGATTGCAGCATTTTACATTGCAAATGTGCTTTACAAATGGAATGGAAGTGGTATGTTTTTCTCTTAGGTAAGTAGAGATGAATAACAATTTTATGACGGTGGCTTGCAGAGAAGCATGTCTGCAACCACAGTTATGGGCCTCAGCTTAGTTTGTTCCTGTTTGTTGGTATTCTGTCTTATTTTTGAACATGCAAGATGAAAGATAATGATGAAATCAATTATTTCTCCAATTCCATATCCCTGTGAGCAGCCCCTTCGTTTGTGTTCAGTAAGAGAATTCATGAAGCAGTGGAGCAGCTGGAACATCCAATATCTGGGATCTACTGATACTTGTTTTAGGCTCACAAGAACCTCAGCGATGTTTTCCTGCTTCGCTGCTATCATTCAAAACCCAGCAGTTCCTTCTGGGCCAGGGCAGCTTCTGCAGACTGAGTGGACGCCCAGGTGCTGTAACCAGTCGTGGTACTTCCTTGTTCACATCATACTGCACTACTTCTATCTCAAAATAAGGCAAAAAAGAACGTAGTCCAAATGATGATCTTCATACTTTATATTAAAAAAAAAGCTTGCATCTGCACTCAGTAATGACGTCTCTGTTGGCTGGGAATATGGAGATGCTCCTTTCGTGTGTCTGTGAGATGCTTATTACGAGATTGAATCTTCAGCTTTATTTCCCATCAGGTATCTGACTGTTTGCTTCAAGTTGAGCAGCAAAAGGGGAGAGGAAGTATCTCATTTATTTTGTAAAGAGGAGGGACCCCATGAAACACACACATTTTACTATTGTTATTTTGTAGTGAGCGCTCGGACTTGTCTTGGATAAATGAGTGAATAACTCCAGCAAAAAATAGGCATGGAAGTGTTAAGCAATGGTCAAGTATCCGAAGTGTAGTGAGGTGTATTAAAAGCCATTCAGAAAAAGTGTGTTCTCTATGCAGTAGATGTGAGGTGTAAGGTCGTGGGCATCTGCTTTCATTTGGGAGAGACCTTTTCCTCAAAACTTTGACCATTTTAATCTGTGGTTACAGAAGCACATTTTTCAGTGTGAATGCTCTTTGCTTAGAAACATTCTTCTGAATGCATTTTGAAAGAAACTTTTATTATTGACTGTCTGCCTGAAGCTGCTGCTGCTGCCCATGAAAGTTGTTTGATGCCATACAGCCAGTGGTGATCAGCTCTACAGAAACCAGGAATCCTGGCCGTAAGGAACGTAGCATCATGCAATCACTATGCTTGTCCTGAAATAAATCTAGACATTTTGAACATCACCACTGAACGTTGCTGTTTGGCTGTCCTGTAGCCCAATAAAAGCTTGTCTCAATATTTCAGATTCTGCATGTGCATAAAGAGAGAGAAATGTATATTAAACAATATAAACATAAAACAAATAAATTAAATAATCATATAAATATGTAAAACGGGATTTTTTACAGCAACGTCGGGTTTTCACAAACCAGCAACCTTTGTTTCAGTAGGTGCGGTGTATTTCAAAGCTGGGCATGACAGTGTTCTACATTTTTCCTTTCTGGATGAACTGTGTGAGTTTTCAGTGCTGGGAAAGCTGTTTTGGCAAGAATGTTTCAAGCGTGAAAGAAACTGTTACTCAAAGGTATTCTGTGATACTGGCAAGAAAGTATTCAGTCCTGTAGTAACTGGAAGATTGGTAGAAAAGGGACTGGTAAAACAAGGGAGGCTTTCCTGGCTCACTTCTATGTGTAAAGATGTGGAGAATTAAGGCAGAATGATGTCACAGTGATATAGTCACTTCATGAAATTAAGTGATACTGGAACAGAGTTTGGAGAAGTCTTATAGTCATGCTTTTCTATTTGTGTACGAAGTTCTTCGCAGCTTTTAAATGTGTGTACTTCTCATGTAAATACATAAATAGTGCTGAAATACATTTAAAAAATACAAACTACATGGTTTCTTAAAACTCCTCACTGTAAGGGTGGCGATGCACTGGCACAGGTTGCCCTGAGATGCTGTGGATGCCCCCTCCCTGGAAGCACTCAAGGCTGGATGGGCTGTGAGCAGCTTGGGCTACAGGGAGGTGTCCCTGCATACAGCAGGAGGTTGGAACTGGGTGATCTTTAAGGTCCCTTCCAACCCAAACCATGCTGTGGTTCTAAGGTACTTTTTAGTAGGTCACAATTCAGTTTAGTAGAAGCTTTAGCTGTGACTGTAATGTGAAGATTTCTCTTTTAAGCTCAAAAATACAGGTTAAAAACATGTTGTGTTTATTCTTTAACTTAACTGTGTGTTCTCAGTAGCAGTGGTGGCAATGCTGCACAGACTGATAAGACATGTAGTCTGAAGGCCTTTTCATCTGATATGAACTGCTATGAAATAAAACACAGGTGAATTAGATGAAATTTAAGTATGTTTCTGTTTTTTTAACCTCATGCAATATTATGGTTTTGGTTGTCCCACAAATTCAGTCGTGATGCATGTTAATTAGACTTCTGTGCTCTATACTGTTCCTAAAAAAAAAGCAATTTGCACACAAAAATATGAGAAGGACCCACATTTGACCCTTTAGCTCACCCGTCAAACATGGAAGCTTCCTGTGAAGTTCTGTCTGAGTGTCATTACTAGGAGGATGAGAGGGACAGTGAATTGCATTGTTCGTGTGTCCATCCTGCTCCCGAAGGTCACTTGTTAACGCAGCAGATGTAAGAAGTTAAAGAAAGAAAATGGAGTGTTTGTTACAGGCTTACCACATCCAACAGTATTTGAGGTATGCAGACGATGTTAAGTCTGTTTGGTAGATGCCAAACCGTGTATCCAGTACTATTTCTTTTTGTATTTGGATGTTGCAAATTTAAGTTTGCTCGTCCTCTTCTAGCTGTTCCTCTGCTTATAGCCAATGTTTACAGTACCATTCCTTTAAATACAAGTATTACGAAGGGTATATTTCTACAAGCACTTTCTGGTAAGCAGTTAGAAATGCAAAGTTGGGGAATTTTTATTGGACCCCCTTGAGGCAAATTAAACACACGTTTATGCTTAAACATAAAGCTGTTCAATGGAGATGGGTCTGCAGCAGTCTGTGGAGATGTGGCACCTGGGGACCTGTTACTCTACACTGACTGGCACCAGCACAGTCCTGTGCCGTCAGCACAGGACGCCTCAGCCCAACACTGGGCTGAGCCCCAGTAGGCGTTTCTTTAAGTCAAGACAGGAAGCCTGAATGACCAACAGATGGTCAAGACCCCATTGTGACTCCCATTTACAAGAAAGGTCGTAAGGAGGATCCGGGGAATTACAGGCCTGTTAGCCTGACCTCGGTGCCAGGGAAGGTTATGGAGCAGATTGTCTTGAGGGAGATCATGCAGCATGTGTGGGATGAGCGGGGGATCAGGCCTAGCCAGCATGGCTTCTTGAAGGGCAGGTCCTGCTTGACCAACCTGATCTCCTTCTATGATCTGTGACCTGTCTGGGGGATGAGGGAAAGGCTGTTGATGTGGTCTACCTAGACTTCAGCAAAGCCTTTGACACTGTCTCCCACAGCATTCTCCTGCAGAAGCTGGCAGCCAGAGGCTTGGATGGATACACTCTTGGCTGGGTAAGGAGCTGGTTGGAGGGCCGGGCACAGAGAGTGGTGGTGAATGGAGTCAAATCCAGCTGGCGACTGGTTGTGAGTGGTGTTCCCCAGGGGTCGGTGCTGGGGCCTGTCCTCTTCAATATCTTTATTGATGACCTCGATGTGGGCATCGAGTGCACCCTCAGTAAATTCGCAGATGACACCAAATTGGCTGGAAGTGTGGATCTGCCTGGGGGTAGCGAGGCCCTGCAGAGGGATCTGGACAGGCTGGAGAGCTGGGCTGAAGCCAATGGGATGACTTTCAACAAGGCCAAATGCCGGGTCCTGCACTTCGGCCACAACAACCCCAGGCGACGCTACAGGCTTGGGGCGGTGTGGCTGGAGGACTGCGTAGAGGAAATGGACCTGGGGGTATTGATTGATGCTCGGCTGAACATGAGCCGACAGTGTGCCCAGGTGGCCAAGAAGGCCGATGGCATCCTGGCTTGCATCAGAAACAGTGTTGCAAGCAGGAGCAGAGAGGTGATTGTTCCCCTGTATTCAGCACTGGTGAGGCCGCACCTCGAGTGCTGTGTCCAGTTTTGGGCCCCTCACTGCAAGAAAGATATTGAGGCCCTGGAACGTGTTCAAAGGAGGGCAACAAAGCTGGTGAGGGGTCTGGAACACAGGGCTGATGAGGAGAGGCTGAAGGAGCTGGGAATGTTCAGCCTGGAGAAGAGGAGGCTCAGGGGAGACCTCATTGCTCTCTATGACTGCCTGAAGGGAGG